TATTGGACTTATATTACTTTATTATTTATATGGAAAAAAAATGACTGAAGACGTATGTACTAGTTCTCCTAAACCATATCATGTTTCTCAAAAGATAATGTCATTTTTTCACAATTGAATGGAATATAATACCTCTATATTTGACTCTTCTTATTGAAATTTAATTTTTTACTTAATACATAATTTCTTGATCTATTCAGTATTTTAAAAATTGTTTTTGGAATACACAAACATATACTCTGGAGGTCCACTATGGTGCAGACGTAACTTCAAGTTACTCATGTTTAATTTACTTCATTAATAATAATTACTGTGGACAGCGCAAATTAAGTGCTGTCTTTGGCGGCTGGCTATTTGACAATTAATAAATTGTAAGTAATAAGCCAAATTCCACTGGAATCATCAGGTAAATAGGTATATACATATGCTTTTGTTGACACAAGCATCTTGAGTAACAACGAACTTACTTGAAATAATAAAAAATACTATATTAGTATCTACACTTCGGTTTTTTTTTTAAATGATTTTAACGAGAAGCCTTGGATTGTAACAAATTAACTGGCTCCTTAATCAAAGCACTAATCACTTGAAGTCTTAAATTAAGGCAGCGATCATCGATGTAATGACTCGTTTTGCGTTTATATATTTAATTAGAATCTACTGTTTGGCGCTGGTAGGTAGGTACTTGGTTTCATGTTTTTTTGTTAAAAAGTTTAACTAAAGGCAATGTTTGCGGTCGCAGCTTCAAAAGCTCTTTGACTTTAACTAAGTTACTTCATCTATATTCTATAGTACTTGAACATATTAACGTTTCTAATTTGTATCTAAATTACTTATTTAAACTTAATAGGTAATATCACGACGTAGCCGAACTAGATTTAACTTTACAAGCTTCTTAGTCAAACATATTTTAATGTATTCAAAGCTCCGTCAATTTATGCATGTACATTGCACACACATATACGAGGGTGGATTGATAAGTTTCCGGCCTGACCAAGAAAACAAGGTTTTTAAAAATTTTTTTTTTTTATTTCTCAACATAATCTCCTCCAAGGCTGATACATTTCTCATAGCGGTGTTCCAGTCTATTAATGCCATCTCTATAGACTGATTCGTCAAGCTCCTCAAAATAACCATTTACAGCTTCGATTACTTCTTCATTGTCCGCAAATCTCTTACCGCCAAGCCATTTTTTGAGATTAGGGAACAGAAAATAGTCACTCGGGGCTAGGTCTGGAGAGTAAGGAGGGTGCGGCATCAATTCAAACTTTAGATCGTTGATTTTAGCCGTCGCAACGATTGACGTGTGCGCTGGTGCGTTATCGTGATGAAACAAGATTTTTTTCTTCGCCAGATGAGGTCGTTTAATTTTCACCTCGTGGCTCAAACGTTGCAATAAGTCTGCGTAGTATTGACCAGTGATAGTATTACCCTTTGCAAGGTAATCAATGTATATAATACCTCTTGCATCCCAAAAAACAGTAGCCATAACCTTGTTCGCCGAAAAAATTGTTTTTGCCTTCTTTGGAGTTGGTTCCCCTGGTCCAATCCACTGTTTAGACTGTTCTTTGGTTTCAGGAGTGTAGTGGTGGACCCACGTTTCGTCAACGGTTACGAATCGACGCAAAAATTCGCTTGGATTACGCTTATACAATGACAAATTTGCGGTAGAAATGTTTTTTCGAATCAATTTTTGGTCGACTGTTAGCAAACGCGGCACCCATCTTGCACAGAGCTTTTCCATATGCAAATGTTGGTGCAAAATATGTTGCACACGTTCATATGACATCTTACAGGTCTCAGCTATCTCACGCACTTTCAATCTGCGGTCTCCCAGCACTATTTGATGAATTTTTTCGATCATATCTGGAGTTGTGACCTCAACGGGGCGTCCTGAGCGAGGCCCATCAGAGGTGCTCACACGACCCTTTTTAAACTCGGAAACCCACTGCTTAACGGTTGAATATGACGGGGAGGATGTCCCCAGTGTTGAGTCCATCTCTTTTTTAATTTCCTTCGGCGTTAACCCCTTCAAATAAAAGTATTTGATGACAGCACGATTTTCCTGCTTTTCCATTTTTACGAAAACCACAGAGGCGTCTTGTTCAGCGTGCTGTCAAACCTACACTAGCAAGGAGATCGGGCTGAAACTATAGCTACAAGCTATCCAAGGATGGTACTATAGAATGTCACCTCAAGGTAGGCCTAGTGGCGTCATCTCTTGGTTAGGCCGGAAACTTATCAATCCACCCTCGTACATATCACTCATGCATTTGTATAGTAAAATAATTAAAAAAATATATTTGTCTATCTAATTAAAATTAGCACAAACTAGACAAGGGTATAAGTGATTAATTATTTTTTCTATTCCCATTCGCTATCCTAATATTATAAATGCGAAAGTGAGTTTGTTTGTAGGTTTATCATTGTCGAGGGTATAGAAAAGCACATAGGGTATTATCCAAAAAACAAAATACTGTTCCCGAGGTATAGAAAAAATTAGTTTTGTGGTCGATTTCACGCCTTAACTACTTGATTGATCATCATGAAATTTTGCAGACACATTATCAAAAGAAAAAAAACTGTTCGCGGGGGATAACAAAATTAGTTTTATGTAGTTGTATGTATGTATGTATGTATGTATGATTTTTGATACATATTTAAGGCATCAACGCTAGCAAAGCCGTGAATAAAATCTAATTAGTATGATAAAAGTAGTGATTAATGAAAAGTATTTCATTGCCCATCAAAATAGGTAATGGTTTATGTAAATTAGAAACTAGAGTGGTCCAGGGAAGATATACCTAATTAATTTATCGCTTATATGTCTTTTAACTTAAGAAAAGAAAAATTGGTTCCTTATTACAGTATCTAAGTATTACAAACTCGAATTATTATTCGTAATTAACAAGCGTCCTTGTAATTAACATGTTGCATAACTAATGTCTCTGTTTTACCAACTTAGCTCATTGTTGGGTAATCAGTAGGTAGGCAATTAATAGAAGCACAAAAATTGTACCTATATCTATTATTTAGGTCTACACATATCACAAAAAAATACTATAAATTACCTATTGTAGCATTACTGAGAAATTGCGTTTAAATTAATAACAAGTCGCTTTCACTTTTGGAAGAGGAAGTAGAGCACTCAATTGTCAAATTTTGTGCAATAAGTTGGATTGACATGAAGTTTTCTGCATGCAATACCTTCTAATTCTTTAACTGAAGAGAGCTCAAAAAATTCTAAACTCCTTGGAAATGCATAATCTAAAATATTGGATCGATATTGTTTTCCGGGTTCTATGTCATGGTCCAAGGAATTTTGAAGTTCCAAAATGATATCAGCACCTGACAAATCAGGAAGGAACTACGAAATTCTATGAATTACGACAAAACATCCCGCAAAACAATATCGAATTGATATACGCTAGCTGTGTAAAATTGAAAACTAGAAGATATTGTGGTGTGCTAATAAATGCATATAATCCAAAATTCTTAAAAAACCATTCGAAAAACTTCACTTATTATATGAACCTAAAGCTAAAGAAACTATGGATTCCATTTCTTCCTCTTATTGCGATGTGTAAAGGATCAGAAACAAAATGGGATTGTAAATATTAAAAAGTATTTATTTGAAAAAAAGTATTTTGAAAATACGTATTTTGCATTTAGCATTTAAAATACAAAACGGAAATCTATTTTGTATTTTACATTTGAAATAACAAATCAAAAAAGCATTTGCATTTTGTATTTAAATAATTTTAAAAAACGATTTCGCACATTTCTAGCTGCATGGAATATAACGTATAACTTTCTACCGCTTCTTCAAGTTAAATTGTACGAAAGCTCTGCGTTTCTTACGTTAGTAACTAAGTAATTGTAAAAGAATTTAAGTAGTTATTATTTCGTTAAATTAGAACAGGAAAAGGGCATGGAAGTGTTTATTAGTTGACGTAGCTGGAAACCATTAATCTTCATGAACTACTACTGTGCGTACTTTAGCATCTGTGTCGGTTCTGATGACATAAACTTTGAATTGATGTCGTTTTGGAAGAACGAACATTGGAATACAAACAGTTGAGATTTTCGTGAAAGAAAATATTCAAAATTAAACGGTATAATTATGGATACTTATTACAAAAGAAGATACTATTACTTTTTTGCTGGAAATCTCACAGATGGCAGAATAATTTTATGGTAATAATTACAATTTTATAATAAAGTGGGTACAATAAATACCTGAAAATATCGGCGATTTACGCAGTAGGTTTTCCTTTTGAATACAACTGAATTACTTGCTACTTTCCTTATTTCTATTTTTAATGAAAACATCAAACGATAGTATTTATTTTTAAAACAGAGCGGTCAATCATTTTGATTGTGTGTTTTATTAAAGCCAAATAGTCGAACAATGACATAAATCCACAAATTCCATATTTCGAGCAGTTGGGACACCAGGACTCTTCTCGTATATAGTAACAGATAAATAAATGTCTTTTAAAGACCAACAAACTGACAATGAGGTAGATGAGTTTCAGAAAAAGACGTATTTTGGATGGATCACAGTCAAGATTTAAACTGTGTTGAAAAACTGACTTGACAGACTTTTGGCATCAAATTGTGCGAATGTATATCACGTTTATAACTCGATAATCAGCTGTGAAATAGTAATAAATTCTTCGATTTTCGCAACAGTATAAAGGAAAGCATAAACAATAAAATTTTATTTCAGTTTTTATTTGCAATTTTATAACTTAATAATGAGAAATACGAGGCTAGTTTTAAAAACACACTAACATTTTAGTGTCTTTATGAACATAACTTAATTAACATATAATGCGTTCAAGTGTCATAAATTACTGTATTGGATCATATGTAAGTTGTTTCAAAGTGGCAAAATTATTCCATATCTTTATCACGAAGGATTGAGTACCTATTATATGTAGGTGACTGCTCCGTTATAAATATGTAAAATATCATATATTCTGATCTACGAAAGTCAACAACATCTCATTGTTTACGTCTCATTTCTACCACATTTTGTAGTGCAAATGACGTTGCCGTAATTACATCACTGAAAGATAGAAATATTTTAACCCCTTTGCTATAATTTGCGGTTTTGTTAGGATTGTAACAGATGATTCTGTCACGGCTCATTTATTTATGTTTCTTTAAATATATTTAAAACTCTTTTTAAATTGTACCTACTTTCAATCATATACTTTTATTTAATCAGTAGTTTTTCGTTATTTCTGTCATAGTTACTTTATACAAATGAAGTCAAATTCCATTGCTCTATTCTTTAAAGAAGGTAGAGGTAGTTTAGAATCTCATGAACCCTGGCCATGAGCTGCTCAAAAGAACACCATTGCCATTAAGTTTATAATTATCTTGCTGAGAGTGTTATGTTTAATAGTTAACTAAAATTTGTTTATATTTTGTCTTAGTACACAAGGCACACATTTGGTATCTATGTAGGAACATGTTTTACTTTGATGATTGTTTATCTGGGAAGTCAAAAGGTTCAGCGCATTAAGCGGACTTACATATCTTAGAGATAAGTTTGACAATGTGCTATAAATTACTCGTGATAAGAGCTCGCACAACTTTAATTTTAGATAGGTAGATATTTCTGTATGCACCTAATAAGTACAATTCCATCAAAGAAACAATAAGTCAACTTAATGTGTACAGTTCTTAATCCAGTTAATACAGTATTAGCGGTAGTCGTAATATACTTAAAACAGTGCAGTTTTTACTCTTATAAAGAAGGCAATTACTTCAGTACGAAACACAGAAAACTGTGTAATGCCATTTTTAATAAATAGATGATATACATATTGAAAGTTATCGTTATTTGTTAGTAGAATTGTTTCTACGTAGCTGCAACATTTTCAGTGAACAGTAACTTAACAATTAGTGGGAAAGTGCGTGCAGAAGAAATTATGAAGGAATGCATGTTATCCGGCATACAAAGTTAGTTTCGACTTACGTTCACCTTAGTTGCTCCAACTTAAAACGATGTTACCTACTAAGTATATGCATTATTATATATTTTACTTGTACTATAAGTGACCGCGATGTTCTGTTTTCACTACTTTTTGAATTGATTCATATACACTACATTGATGACGCAAGCGAAAACTCTCAATAATCTGACAGTAGTTAATTTCTAAAGTCTAAAAAAGATACAGAATAAGGCACAATTAAAAAGCGCTTAAGGCAGTTCGACCTTTCCACCTTGTAGAGCATATAGTAGAGCATTTTGTGCATCATCCCTATTCATAAGAATATCCATGATACATTTTTTTTATTAATCAAAATACATAGGTGTAATTAAAACTTGTTTTTGTTTTCGTTTTACGGTTTAATCGATTAAAGGACTGTATGCGACTTAACTAAAACTCGTGAGCGTGATTTTCCAAAAGCTCCACTTCTAAAAATCCGTAATCAATCTCTGATGTTTGAGTTTTAGAAGTTAGTTAAACTTTCGTTAATTTCACACGTGTCCGGCTTCGTATTTATCTAGCTGTATAATTGTTTTCCACACAAAAACAAAAAATAAAAGTTCGAAAAACAGACATGCGGCCGAAAATACACCTATTTCGGAAATGTTTAGAAAATACCTTAGCCTACTAAACAATGTAAAACGCGCAGGCGATGGAACATCACAGGAGGCCGTGAACTAAACAGTGAGCAGTTGGCACGCGCATAGTGAACATCGTCAGCTAAATGTTTTCGCTCGGGGAAAGTTCTGTACCGGGCCGCAGCCGAACAGATTTCAAGTGGAAATTATTTTTTCGTTGAAAACAACTAAACTCACTCAGACGAAACAAAACAAAACATTAGTTGATCGTTTTCAATTGTAAAATCGAGTACTTATCGATAAAAAAATATTTGCAAAAAAGTGCGTATTGACAAGGGAATTGAGGGAAAAGTTTCGATTTTTTCTGTTGTGGACGTAATAACACATTATGTATTATGTGTTAGGTACAATGTATTTTTAAAATGCGACAGGAAATTTAAAGTTGTGAAATCGCCGACGCACACCTAGGAATAATATCTACAAGGCGTAGTGAGTAAATATTTATTGTAGTTTATACCTGCTAGAGATGGTTATCTGGTTTAGATCCGGTACTTTTTTTAGGATCCGGCCGCGTACCAAATAATGGTCCTGAGCCCTGAGCAAAAAAAGTATTACAACTCTTACAATTTTAATTATTGATATTTCGATTTGAATCGATTTGAAATCGAAATATAAATTCTAGTGAGATGGTAAAAGGAAACAAAAAATAATTTCAATTTTTAATGAAATGAATGTAGAATATTTTGAACGCAGTACTTAAATTTGCATTATTATTCATGCATGAAAATTAAAAAAGTAAGTGTTTGAATTTTTAAATACAACTTCAAACATTTTACATTAAAATCCAAACGGCTATTTTTCGCCGGGTGCCAAGTACCTGGCAGAATTAATGGCGGGTACGCGGTTTTCCGGTAGGTACCTACCTGGAAAATCTCTATCTGGCTTTGTACCTTCGGCATAAGTATATAAATGCACGCATATGAACTTGATTGCCGCAGTCCAAAGGCGTAATGCGTATGTATGAATTAAATTTATTTCCAAAGACATACACTTGAAATGTGTCAAAACAATTTTAAAGGTCCGGCATCCATCCAAGGTTCTGAGTAAATAACAGGAAAATAGGAAAATCCGATACTAAGTAGGTATAACATAATCCTATTTCATTTTAGGTATCTGGTGATGAAAATGTTTCTGGCCAAATTTGGGAATTTTGGTTTTAAAAGAATTATTTTTATTACAAAACAGAACTTTTTACTGTATACCTAAGTATGTGCCCTTTTGGAATAGAAATACAAAAGATTCGTTTCATAAATACTCAACAATTGCATATGTTAGTACAACAGTTATTCATTTTGGTACAGTGAATTTTACATTAGGTTGATAATTCTATCAAATTGCAACTATAATTCTAATTCACTTAAGTATAAGAATGGTTTAAATTTGAAAAATAAACTTTTAGTGCGTGACGAAACAGAATAATAACCGACATGTTAATAATTTCACATTTCGACTATAGTAAACTAATAAATAACAGGTAAATACTAAACATACGTATCTGTCGATATTCACTTTATTTTGAAACATCATCATATCAACTGTTTGTTGAACATTCCTATGCGAGAATGGAATAAAATTAATTCCAGAAATAATTTATATAACAAACGCCAAATGTGTCTATAAAACTAACGCCTTTAAACTGAATAATGAATATAATGAAATACTCAAATATGGAGTAGCTGTGGAGTCATAAATTGAAGGATATTACTAACGAGGTTTATATAATATTGAGATGTCATTATTGACAAGGACCGTTAAATTGCGTTTAATAAATAATTCACGAGACCTGTTATTTTTAATTGACTTTATAGGATTTTAAAGCAGTGACATTTCCATTTCCATAAAGGAACATTGAATATAGTTTATAAGAATATTTGGAAATAAATAAATTTATCAATTATCAGATTAGCATTTATCTATTATGCGATGTAATAGTGATAGTTGCATTTTCTTTATAATACTTTTATCGTAAGATAAAAATGTACTGAAACGTTATAGACGAAATAAATTTTAACCTTGCAGTCTATATTTAATTACGTGAGTGCCTGTTTTTCAAAAATGGTGGTCGTCGGAAAATGCCAGTACAAAAATGCACCTAATGCCAGAATTAATATGTATACCATACGAAAAAACAAAATGCGAATGCATTGCTTTGTAAGGCAGCGATGGCGTAAAAAATCAACAAACAAGTGCGAACCTATGTTTTATTCATGAATTATTATTTGTTCTAGTGCAATTGTTTTCCATTGCACGCGCGATATTATGAGCCATTTGATAGTCAAAAAGTCTCTTAACATCGCGTCGATACATTCAAAAAAACAATTTTTTATATTGCTCTCATATAAAATATTCTTTGTTATATTTGAAATTTGAGGCTAGAAATGGTGTTCAAAAGACTTTCCGAGAATGAAAAACTACATGTATTACGATGTTATAAAGTAAAGAAGGCATCTTGTATAGTAGAAACCTATTCTGGACAGGAATTTTTAATAAATACAATAAATATACGTGTTTTGTTCGTTTTTAAACGATTCTATCTAAAAATTTAAATAATAAAAAGTACAATTTTGTACCTTTGATGCTGAATATTACCCTTCGGGGATCAAATAAAATTTCTACGTACAAGTGATAAAATGAGTCGTGAATATACCTCATCATCATCGTTATGGGGTCGTCAGTCCTAAAACTATGATTGGACACGCACCTTCACTCTTTCCTATCTTGAGCTAATCTTCGCATTTCCCTAAAACTAGAACAACCCACCTTATTAATCTCTTTCTCATCTAGGTCTATCTCTACCTCTTTTTCACTCTTGTTTCTAGGTCTAATACGTCTCTATCCTAAAACCGAAGATAAGGATGTTCTATTACATGGAATCATCAAACAACGGCACCATTTTTCGTCAAATACGTCGTAATAATATAAAAAAATGGTTTAAATACCTTTGCCATCTTTACATATAAGTTCAAATGGTTTTGAGAGTTCGGTTAATTTGATTTAGCTCAGTTTTCAGAGTCCACGTTCACCACGTCTTTGGTTGAAGATACTTGTGCTATATGAAAAGAAAAAAATGTTAATTTGCTGGTTTAAATTTATTTCTATTTCAAAAGGAATAAAAGTATTAGGTCGGTTTTCGAATTATTTTTCTTGGTTGTGCGCGGTGTCTATTAGGATAATGCCTAGTTCCCTCCCATACACCTGTTTTTAATTAGGGTTAAAATTTTCGGTATGTCGAATTCCCTCCTAATTATACATCTTCAATTGCCTCCCAACGGCGGCGGACCTTGAGTGCTAAATGCCACTATAAAGTCATAAAGAGTTGTTTAAATAATACAGCCTCACATCACATATTAATCTTAATATTATTCATATATTATAGACACCACAATAACAATACTAATTTTATCCAGACTACCCTTCTATTGGTCAAATACAAGACAAACTAAAACTAATAAAGAAAATACTACAAATGGCGCAGTAAACGCCATCTGTAGCGCGATGCTACATTTACTGCGTCATTTGTGGTATTTGTTCTGTCGGAGCTGCCTGCGACGCGCTGATGAGATCCAAAAAAATCGAAATCCCGCGATCCGCGTCTGGCAGTTTCGACAGAATACAGACCACATCGAATTATTTTAAAACTAATAAAGTTTTTCTGGATGATTGCATCAAAAAGCTAGACGCACACGAATTTCCAAACATTGAATTTGTTAAGGTAGTGGGAAACCATTTTAAAATGATATGAACGGGAGGGAACTCGGCTAGTACCCGGGAGGGAATTCGACTATCTACATTTTAACCAAAAGTACCCGCGGGAGGGAATTCGGCATCACCGGTCTATTAGTATGGCATCCTATATTTCAGAGTACTTTTTGACTCGAGTGTCATGTAATTTAATGGTTATAATTACAAAGTATTGAGAAATAAATAATTAACGTTTGATTGTACAAAACCGTAAAAACAACTGGCAATTAACAAATAGCTTTTTACATGAGAAGTAACCTTCACATTTGTCTCCTTGGTTACTATTAGAGTTTTTCTAGAAGTTTACTTCGCCTTTGTTTGTCGTTTCCTCGCAACTCTTAAAAGCTGAAGAAAGCATTGTCAATAAAAAAAAAACACTCCACTTAGTTGTAAACCCGTGAATCCATAAACTAAAATCACGAAAACGTTTTGTTGGCGTCCTTTTTCTATTTAACAATTGATCTATTCAAAAACATTCGACTTTTATAGCTCCAACTGGTCCATAAGGTCACGGAGGACGCGCCCACATTTACCGCTTAAAAAAATTGCAGGTCCTATTGTATTCGCAACATCTAACATCCGCAACGAACAATTATGTTGTTCAAGAGATCAAGTCTACCAGATCGAACAGTTGACAGCTGCTTTCTTTCCATTTTGCTTTGCGTCTGTTCAAGCGCCCTCTGCATTAAGCAGCATTGATTTTAATTACACCACCAAAAGAGAGACATTTGCTATTGGAAGTAAATTTTTATGATTAGTAAATAGATGAAAAGGTACCCACCTACAGAGTTACCAATTCAGACAAAAAGGCACCCAGTGTAGGTCATCGAAAGCAATCTTCAAGATAAAATAACGTTGATCATACCTATTACTAAGCAAATTAAACGATGATGAAGACAGTGCCTCAGTTTCAAAATTACAAAAATTGACAAATTGCATAATTTTTATAATTGTATATCTTTTTTAAAGCCTTTAAATCAGTCAGGATCATGCATAGATCGAAAGCTCTTTGTCAAAAATTAAGTGTTTGCTGGAGCAGGATTATGAGATTAAATTTAGCTTTCAGGCTCAGGTTTTCCGGTGGTTCAGTGAGTTTCAGAATAGACGAAAGACAGTTGAAGGATATGGACACATTTCAATAAGTGATCTGTACGTAAATGTAGTCATCTATTTTAAGGTTATCGAAAAATTCCAAAAATCGATGCCTTCGACTCCAAAGGATGCATTTGCGCACCAGGAGTTTTTTACACGTGATAGTGTATTATGTATTGGTACATTGCTAGCTAAATAGGAATATAAATGACGATTTACGTTGAAATGTACGTAGGCTTATCATAATGGATTATCTAGTACGTAGTAAAGCTATGCATTGGAACGAATTGATTCTAAATATGCAAATAAAATGTTATCTCATATTTCCGAAATAGTTGTTTATCATCTCCCTACTATTTTTGGTGTGTGGTTTAGAAGTCGTACATTTATCAGGATAATAAACAATTAATTTAATAATAAAGGATTTACGAATTTTGCATGAGCCCTCCGTCATCGTCAGTAAAACAGAATTCAGAATTTGTGGATTTGCGTCAGGAAACTATCTCTAAAAATGTGTCCTATTTTTGGTCAGTCTGTGTATTATTAAAACATTTTCAGGCGTATTTTAGTGCAATAATTTCGTTTTAACAAAATAT